ATAGTATGCCAACTATTTGCGTGCAACTTGGGGTGCAGCTTGAAAGTCACACTGCACATGACAGTTCAACTGTCTCGGGCTGGTAATACTTATGTACCAGGAACCCAATCAATAAAGAAAAACATATTCACCGCTCCCTTTCTCAAGTCCTTCTCTTCACGCTTAATTACAAATCAACTGCCTTCGAGCTATGGACAGTGATGTTGCTCAGTTCTGTCCCTGGAATGTTACGCAAAGAGTGCTTATAGTGGCGGGCAGCCACGGCGACGAGCATAGCCTGGGAATCAGCCGAAAGTGACAACTGCTGTCAAATCGAACCGAAATCGAAACCGGCATTGACACTGTCAAAAGCTTGACAACTGCTATAGAAATTGAACCAAAACCTCCCCGCCTACCGTACAGCCTGGCGCACGCAACGCGGATTGAACAGCTGTCATGGAGGGGTCCGTTTATTGGACGTCTAGCGAAGCAGGCCTCCACTCGTACTGCACGTTACGCCAGGCTCCATCCCGATTCCGCGTTCGAGCACGTGGCCGAGACCGCCGTCGGACTGGCTACTGTCACAGAGTGCGACCGCGTCAGGCTTCGCAGTGAGGCGTGAGAGCAACTAGCTCCTGGAAACACAAGTATTCAAGCCGGCGCTGATAAGCGACATAACCGAAATAGATGATGGCCGTCAGCCGAACCCACATCAAAAAGCCATCATCTACCTGCGTAACTCCATCGCACTGCCAGTGGTTGCCAGATGCCATGACGGAGTTAAGACACACCCTGTAATTAATACTTACTTTCCAGCTTTCTTGAATTCCAGTGATCTGTGACTTCGCTTACGAACCGACGCTCGTGCTCAATTTTCTGCATTGCGATCCGATCATCGGTAGCTGAAGCCAGATAAAGCAAGAAAAACTAGTCAGGGTCATCTGAACAAAGCTAGATAAATGGGTTTGTCTAGATGATTTGTCTAGATGCACTAGCTGAAAGGTTCATTTAAAAGTGGCCTAAATGCAGTGAGTGTGATGCCAGGAACGGCACATAAACAAAACAATAAAAAACGGACTTGCTGTATACGTACTTATCCGTTACAGATTGGGTCAGAACATTGCCTTGTAAAGTACGTACTGCTTACAAATTTGAAAGTTCAAGGTACATTGTTGCACCTTCAAGTTGTCAATACCGCCAACCATTCATACTGCACCGCAGTTAAGGTGCGAGTGAGCTTGAAGGGCCGCGGGATGCGGCGCGCGTACAGCGACGTTATGGGGGGTTGGGTGTGATTGAGCTTAATGGGACGTACAAATGGCCGTGGAGTGCGCGCCTTTCTTGCTAGGGTTGGATCCAGTGCAGGTAGTGCCTCTTGAAACCGATCCAATGTATGGGCGATATATTGTGCAAAAATTACTGTGCGGTTCCCGGGCCAGGTTTTTCGCCGACAGCTTACATCTGATTTTCACTATCTTGGGTGACAACTTTTCATTTCAGGTTACATCTCCGCATTGGATTACATCTGTTGGTCACCGGTGTCTTGCATCTCATCAACATAGTAGTTGTTTATTTCCATCAATTCAATGATCGGCTCGGCTCGGCAAGAGGTTCAACTTGCCGGAACTTGCTTTAACTTGTCTTCCCGCGGCATAGGAAGATTCCGAATAACACCCATTAAGTTTTAGGCAAAGCATTGGTTCATATTGGGTCTTCTGTCCGAAATTAGCTCCAGAAACAATTGAAATGGGCGACAGGCACCCTTTAGACACGCGCAACGCACAGCTGCCAAAGCGTGCTCGGCGCGGACGAGCGCGCTGCCGCCGTAGCCAAGCCCGGGCGCATGCGACTTCCGTAATCGCGTGATGAGCTCCAGGCGGCGTCCGTTTGGTACCAACCAAAATGAGGTCGCGCGGGCCACCGGGAGTACAAGAAGCACCGTGACGGCGCCGCCATCTCGGATGCGGCTCGTGCATCGTGAAGACCCGGACACTGCCGCGGCTCCGCGCCGGCGCTTTACATATGCATTTACCTGCAGCGCGGATGTCGCCCTAGGCCTCGTACTATCGCACGGCTTGTTGACAGCGTTGCGCGTCTTGAGGGAGTACAGGACAAGCGATGTGGGCGGTGAGAGGAAGAAAAACAAATATATTTTTGGTGCACCCACGGGCAACGAGTTGTTTCCGCCTTCACTCACCTGCTGCGAGCCCGCCTGCCAGTGCTTCCCATTTATTTTCATAAATTGTGTCGTTCGCCGCGGTGGACAGGCTGCCGATGTATGTAAGCGTCAACGCGACCACGAAATGGCGGGACTGCACCCCGGGCCTGCTCCGATCGAGAACCTTCCGTCAATTTCCAGCGAAGTTGAAGGCACATGCGGCGGTCTTTGGTCTTATCATGTTGGAAACTCTAGCGCATGAGCACATTTTGCTTAAACTACAGACTACAAATATGGTTGACTATACAGACGTAGAGGGGTAGGTGATTTCTGAATGAGGTTAGTAAAAGTCATACGCACGGCGCGCCCGCTTTTCCATCCTCTTCTAATCCTTGATAAACAGCCACCATCCCACAAGAGGGCGCACTACGTCATTCGCACCGCTCGCAGACAGCGCGCGGTCGCCACTGGAGCAGACGCTTATGCCGACGGTGCCTGCAACCATGGTGCAGTCATACTCTTTGCCGGCCGGATGCTCGTCGTAGTCGACGAGCTTGACGTCGACCTCCGCGTACCCAGGCGGGATCGAGCGGGAACCAACGGGATGGAAAGGCGTTCCGTCGAGAGTGAGGTCAAAGTGCATATCGGGGCCGCCGTAGGTTTCCCAGAATTCTGTAGCCGAGAGCGTCTCGGGCGCGGCCGCAGACATAGCTGTCTGAGATTTGATTCAGCGTTAGGTGCTGTGCGGGTGAATATGTGTACAGCGCACGGACCATGTTGAGCGGGTGTCCCATCCACCGACCCTCTTTGTTGAAGACGGCGAAAGCAGTGATCCATCCGGTGTAGTGATCGCCCACCCCACTGCCACCCGGTTCGTAGTGCGCGACCCGCTGCCAGAAGTCGACATTGTACGGGCTCGCGGGCTTGTCAAACGCGGCGATAAAGCGCGAGATAACGGGCCGCAGGAGGTGGTACCACGCGGTCGTCTCGATCCCGTACTCCTTGAGCTTCTCAAGGCGATCGCGAATGTTAACCCAGTCCGTCCGTTCGCCTTCGAGGGTCACGCGGGGGATACCGCAACCACCCGCCAGGATAACGTACTCAAAGTACTGTTTGAGCGTCGCCATGAGCAGGACAGCGCTCACGGTGGTGTCGTTCACTGTGGTTGTGGTGAAGTCGGGCGTCGCCCAGGCACGCAGCGACTCATCGACGACATTTTTTTCGATGAGGCCGGCCATCTTGCGTGCGAGGTGACCGAAATCGAGAGTATGACGACTCTGGGGGCGAGCATCGATAGTAAGGCTTTTCTTCCCCTGGTGCGAAACGAAGTTGACGCGCAAGAGCTCTGCGCGCCCGTTGACGAAGAAGTTGAACTGGGACAAAATAGCCAGCCACACGTCATCAGGGCGGATGACGAGCGCGCGGTCTTCGGCATACGCATTCAGCAAGGTCGCCACAAAGCCATTTTTCTTGGGCGCGATTTTGGGAATTTTTGCTTTAAGATTGCGCCCGCTGCATGACCAAGGCGTCAGGACACAGGGTACAGTTACATTTCGCTGCGATGCGTACGATCTGTCGCCCCCAACAGGAAGCGAGAATTGCAGGATTTCGCCGGCCTTCGTGTGCTGGTCCTTACATGCCATGGCAAGGGTTTCATCAGCGGTGTATCCATCCTCACCACCGTGGAATTCGAAGGGCTTGGCAGGATGTTTTGCGACTGGGAACGAGACGGGCATGAGTGCAGGAGGGGGAAGATTACTAAGCTGCCAGTGGAAGCCGCCCTATTCGGCCCGAAGTCCGAGCCTCAACAGGAACAAGCAAGTAGAATGGGCCGCTGTAGTTGTGGTAACAAGTCGTGACGTGCAACCGGAGATGACCGGGGGCTGCCGACAGCCTTCCCCTCACATTGGTCTTTTCTAGCCTGATTGATGTCGAGGTACATGAACGCTCATTCGCAGCAGACAACGTCACGCTTTTCTTTTCAACCACCGCTCGGAACGCATGTGCGAGATTGTCGTTGAGGCGATGTCGAGATACAATACCGTTTTCACCTTCCCCGGTCGCGTTTTGTCCGGTGGCAGGTAGTGACCAGCGACTTCGCGGAATGGATGCTGGGAATGGCTTGTAGTCGCACATCTATGGTGTGTCGTCCTGCCAGCGCTATACCCAACGTCGCGACATCCGACGTACAACCGGAAATGAACATGCAAGCAGTCGTGGACACAATTCATTCAAGACGGCGGAGAGGCACAATTTACGTTACTCTCGAGATGCGCATCGCTCACTCTGTCACCGGACTTGATGCTTCCCCATTTGTTTCCTTCGGATTTAATATCGGCGCGTTGGTTGTGAGCACCATGTGCGTCGCGCGCCAGCATGCGGGATACGTCTTGCTTGTCACCGGAGAACAAGAATGGTCCGCTGCAACAAGCCGCATACGCCATTCATCCTCGCCGCGCCCGAGCCTGACGCCTCCAAAGGTAAGTGCGCGCTAGAACCCTCCGTTGCTGAATTTGATGGTGCGTTCATTTTTGCAAGACTGTTCTTTATGCAAGGCCGAGAAGGTGGCGCCGTGGCAGAAGTGCAGTGTTCCCTTTAGTGGAAGGCTGTGCTGCAAAATAAAACTTATCGACCTTTGTGAATGACTGCGCCACAATAAAACTGTACCCACTTCATATCTACTACTTGGTAGCAATGTGTTTGCTACCACGCTGTTGACCATGCTGCTGGTCTGAATGTCCATATCAAACAGATCCTACCATTACGAAAGTTCAGCTAGGCCATTTGAACGGATGGAGTAGAGAGGACTCAAACCATGGAAAGTGCCACACTGCATACTTATAAGGTACTACATCCGCAAGTGGCATTAATGGGGTAGAGGTAACCTGGGTCGTTGCCATTTGATAGGTATCTGTTATACATTTGTATTCGACCCGCCGGGGGTTCGATTCCCCCTTAATGCATTTTTTCTTCTTTCATCTTTTTATTTTTTCATGCTTTATCACCAGTGTTGGCAACCAGTCGGCCTCAGAATTTTCGGACTGCGTTCCATAAATCCCTTCTCAACAATTTACATAAGCATGACATTATATTTTGCCAACGTTCTTACAGTCTTATCCACCATTCAACAAAAAATCTTTCCACAGCAAAGATGATAAGATAAGTATGCTTCTTACGGTGCCGTAGTTGCAGCTAACCAGTTGTAGTAGTTATAGGCTTATAGCCTCACCAGTTCGGGAGAATCCGGAACGTGCCGCGTACAGCTATCTAAGCGTATCAGAAAAGGAGATCGTGAAAGAGAATATAAATATTTGTTTGTTCGCGGGACTTGGCGCATTGCGTTCGATGGGTGCTATATCTGGGAGATGTTAGAACGAAAGAAAAGTGCAGGCAAGCACGTGAAAACTATTGATCTGACGAAAGTTATTCTGTATAATTATTGTCTCTCAGTAACTCTCTGCTCGCCCATTCGCCAAAAGATTCAAGATACGAGTATGGCACCCCCTTAGTTGCCGGAGCGTAGTGTCTAGTTTACTAGTATGATCTTACTCCCGGCCGATGATCCGGAACCTCAGTCATCTTTGCATACAATACTCTGGTTCTACATATGCAATTTGATGTTATTAGTTATCGTAAAGAGGTACAGGGCACTTTGCCGCTTGCCGGCCCTACAATCTAATTTGGCCTGCACTAAGTGTGCACCCCAAGACGCGCGGCACCACGTCGGTCCGCCCAGGCAGGTGATGAAAATGCGGATGCGCAAGCCGAGCGTTATGTCAGGGTGTGCGGCGCGGTGAAATTTTGCACGAGGTACTGCGCGAGCCGATCACGTTGCGCCTGTACGCTCATCGGGACGAAAGAGGAACCACTGGCACATCAAAGGATCGCACAGACCAGCACCACATAAGACACGTCGTCCGGGGACATCGGAGAAGGCACCAGCACATCGGCCCGCGAAAGAGCAGTACGTTCGTACGGCATGGGCCACTAACTTGAAGGATGTGTGCGTCGTGCCCATCCGGGCTGTTGCTATGGTAACGTTACTCATCTCATCTTATCAATTTGCCCGATATGGTTTATCGCAGATCACGTGCTGATGAGCTGAAAGTAAAAGTTTCGGCAACCAGCTGAAGGGACTCTCCACTGCTGCACAGGCGCACGGCTGCTGCTTGTATATGTACTTTAGGATTATATAATGCAGCAGGACCTCGTTCGATTCGGGGCCGGGTCATGGAGGTAAAATCTGTTTCTTTTTCAGACTTCACTCCAAGCGTAAGCTCCAAATTGAACTCTTATCCGTGGCTAAGTCCCTCTTATCGTCGCGATGCAATATCGATAGCAAAATCACTGTAAGCTGGCAGTCACTCTGGGTCCCTGCGGAAACCCAGCTACAACGTCTAGATTTGCTCCGTGCTTAGCTTTTACCTCATCTTGAAGTTCCGGCGCTCCCGAATAAGTTCATTCATCTTCCAAATTTCCCTGGAGTCTCGGCAACACGGTGTTGTTGCATGCCAGCGAGGGCGTCCAGACCTAAGTATTGCATCATTCGACATTTGCATGCTCTTAAGTTTCTGTAGTGCTGGGCCGGTAATATGATGTACTTATACTACTACTATATCATCAACCCCTGGCTTCAAATCATGTGTGTCTGCAATTCGATTTCAAGTACGGGCATGCAACTGGTATCATTTTCTCCCAATACGATCTTATTCAACATATCAACTAAGCCCAAGTCAGGTATGTATATCCAGCTGTGTTGAGTGATATTCAGCCGGCAGGCTCAGGACCTCAGGCTATGGTCGATTTCTCCCAAGTCTCCCAACTATGTAGTTCTGGAGTTTCATTGTGGCGGGCGGGCTGTAAAACGTCCAAGTTGGGTAAACCTGTTGCCGAATCCATGTCTTCCTTCGAAGTATCGCCAGTATGGTGCTGATTCAAATCCACCAGGCGCTCGCGAATGAAAGCCACAATCCCAGCCGATTCAGAGCCGGGTGAACCGCCTTCCGTCTGGAGCGCAGGGAAGTCTTCATGCCATTGGCGAACGAGCTTGTGGCGTTGAAAGAGGTGCACCACGCCGAGAGCAGAGAGTGGTCTGCGGCCTACGTAAAATTATTATCATGCTTCGTCCGAGAGGCATATATATTGCTACTCACCAAATGCAAAATAAATTATGTTGGCGCCAAACAGAAGTGCAAAGCCACCATTGACGAAGGTCCAGAAGCCGCCCAAACTCGAGATACCAGACAAAATCGATGCATCCGCAACCTCCTGAAGTATCCGTGTGGGTCCTCCTACTTGAAACAGCGTGAGGCTCGCAATGTCGGATCCTTCTGTCTTGTCGTTTGGATTCGATTGTAAACCGATGATTTCGGGCTGATACATCCACCCCTGACCAGATAAGTAGGAGATCAAGTACGTCCAGAATTATGGCACACCTGGGAGGAATCTAAACGCAGCCTTGCTGTCCAGGTCAATAGCCCGAACATTCTGGATCCTGGAAGTAATAGCGTCGCGGTTGGGAATGGGATGTCACCATTGTAACCAGGGAGTGATACACTCTCAACGTAGCCTAGCTTCGGATACCACGGCGGCATGGACAGATATACACCTCCCATTTCAGGTGGAATCGTTAAAGAAATTGACATGTTTTGCATGGTTTGCCAGCCAACGGGGCCTATTGCGGTGTCCGTCAATATACCGCTCATAAAAAAATGTGTATATAACCAACAGTGCATTATTGCTTCACCATAAGCACTGGGATCCTCCACTGGCGAACAGTTGAAATATTGATTCGTACTAGACCCTTGGTATGCCTTGATTTGGTTCGCCATTTGGTACATATCGGTATAGTTAATGTTCAACGAGAGGAGTAACAAAAAGGATGGGAGTGGGACTCGCCCAGTCCCACTTTTGATGGCTGAGTCCCATTTTTGATGGCCAAGTCCCATTTTTTCACTCTGCAGAATGGGACCCGGTGCAGTTGAGTGGGACTCGGGGTTTGCCTGTCCGATGATCCCTGGCCTTGCCGACAGATCCGCGTAACCCCGGCGGATGTATTCCCATGCCATTCCCATCAGCCATTTGTCACGTGATTGTTTTGTATGGCAACAGGGAACAGACAAAGTGAGTCCGTGATCGGCGGTCCGATTGCCGACAGCGGCATGTCATGGGTGTTAGTAGGACCCCGGAGTTGAGGTTGAAGTAATTTTGATCATTGTTGCAGCTGTTCAAGAATTTGATGATTCCTTCCCCTTCGTGTTTGTGGCCGCAATATTTATTTATCTTGCTGTCTCTGCATTTTCACCATGGAGTAGTGAGGCCAGCCGTGAGAGCGCAGCACCAAATCTGTATGAAGTGTCAGAAAGCAGGGGGGCGTCCGGAAGGGGATCATTCCATTGACAATACTTCTGCTAGGGATCACCACCGTAACCGTACAATATGGTATGTATAAGGACCCTGGTTTATACCTTTCGAGGCCAGGTCCGGTTTCCGGACAAAATTTGGCCAGAATTGCCACCAAAAAAGTTTCAAAAATGTGCACCGGCTGAAAAGAGCCATTTTCGCATACTCAGAAAGTGTGGGAATTTTTTTTGTGTTCAGACAAATTGGGACCTGGCCTCGAAAGGTATAAACCAGGGTCCTTATGTATACGGCTACCATATACATTATACGGTGGCCGTAACCGTCCCGTACAGCACTTTGGCTCTATGGTTACGGGCCGTAACCGTAATCCCCTCCGTATGAGCCGTAAGAATACGGCCTGTCTAAAATTTTGGCATTTGAAGGTTATAAGTATTGAGAGTGCTGCGACCATCCAAACGCTAGTATCGCTCTCCTCGCCGCGCCGGGAAAAAAAAAAAAAAAAAATTGGCCCCCTCCCACCCCCCTCCCACGTGACAACCCTTGTCCAAAAGTGGCTTTTTAAAGCATCAAATCACCTCCAACTCAAGTGTAAAGCGCTGGAGGATGTTCTGAAACTGGTGCAATGGATTTAGACACGGTACATAGCTCGGTTATACATGATTTGAATTTAAGATAATCATACGGCCGTAAACGGCCGTATAGTACCGTAAAAGGCCTCAAGAACAGCATTACGGTACGGTTTACGGTACGGAAGTTGGCCGTATAGCACCGTAATCCTTACGGCCGTAACCGTACGGTCCGTATGGCGATCCTAACTTCTGCACACTTTGAATCCAGATGATACTCTTGATTCCAACCTGCACTGTGGGTTTTAAAATCTGTTCAACCATACATACCAGCTGAAATGGCATGCACATTCGGACCTCAACCTCAATCGTGATGGCGGTGGAAACCCGGGGGCCGGAGCACCACGCTTTTTAACCGCTAGCGAGCTTTGGCAGTGACACCGGTGACGAGATGTGATTGGTGTTTGCTGTTTCAGTGGTGAGACCCCGAAAACTGATAGATGCCATCGGATTAAATGACCCAGGGAGATGGAAAATAGGTCCGGGGAGAAAGAAAATGCAATGGGATATAAAAATGTTGTACAAGTCTGGGGTACCCGCCCCACTGGCTGTCTCGCCTAGTCAATATTATTTCCTTTATAACCCATCTTGTATGTGTGCTTCCCCTTGTAGTCAGTAGTTGAAAGCAGGTAGCCTGAATAAATATCATTATTCGCTTCCAACAAAATGTGTGACTATGGGCGATGGATAGTGCTATGAAGTGGCCACCCGAAACCTGAGCTATGGGCGCTATATCACAGTTATGGCTACGAGAGTTCTCATAGACGTGGCTGGAACTATGGCTGTCTATGAAGCAAACCACCCCCCTCCCACCTGTCTATCATAGATGTCCATTTGCTATCGCTGTTTTGGTGTCTTTTTGGGTCTATCCTGGTCTATATTGCAACTTCAGATTTTCCTGATGCTACACTGTGCCCTTATCAATGTTCGAATTAGACGCAAACTCCTCATCAGAAAACCATGCAAAATTTCGC